GCATGCGAGAGGCCCCGGGTTCGATCCCCGGCATCTCCAAACCGGTGGGATCACTTTTATGGTTGAAATGACAACCCTGAATGTTGAAGGCTGAAACTGAGGAACAGTAATTCTGGTTATCTTGAGAGGACTATATTCGAAATCAGTTGTTATGTGTTAAAAAATTTGGTACTTGTGGTGAAAACAATTCCAATTATAACGAAGCAGTTAAGACGCTCGTTCGCGAAGTCAGAATTTTCGGGTTCAAATCTCAATTCGTTATTTTCATTGCAAGGATATTTAAAACGCTCTCCCTTATGGGTATGCAATTAACATACCAACTAACGAAATCGTAGATTCTGTGCTAAGCTGTGCACAACCAGTGCCGCACATGACCAATCCTATTGCTACATCATATTCGACAACAAATAGCGCTAGAACGCGAGTCACCCAAATAAGGGTCTCCAATACGCCTCTACCAACTTAAAGCCTTTGGCTTAGAAGTCGTGCAAATTTCTGCCTCACCCTAGCCGGTGTAAGGCAACTTTTATACCAAAAATTCTTCTACTTTTCTTTAAAATCACATTTAACTCCTGTTTTATAAAACCTAAGTCTACCAGGCCTTACAAATTCAAGAGGAATAGCATTTGTGGGACACGTCATCGTTTAACACGTGATCGCATGCACGTACAACCAATAACCAATCAGAAGCGAATCCGCCATATTGATTTTGTCTAACCTTATGGAGCGTACACTTTTACCACAATATACTTCCTAAATAAACGTGTTCCGTGCGATACGTCTATTTCCACTACTGTTGGGCTGTAGCTTAGCTAGTTTCAGCAGTCTAAATAGATATAGGAAGATCTGTCACAGATATTCCTGAGTCAGCCAAGGCTTTACTAGTGTAGCAATCCGCTACAAATTCGTTAAAAAATTGTAGCTGTTCCATCCTACGTGCCTCAAATCATCCAATTCCCTGATATTTAAGTCTCCAGAAATATCACCCACTTCCAAACGATAGAGAAAAAACTCTTGCTTACTCGAAACAGGAGGCCGAGTACTCTCTTATTCCAGTTTTCGAGCCTTGACAAATTGAACCGCACCATAACCAATAACACGATGTTAGCTACTGTCCTTATCCAAGCTAATTAAACCCGAACTTTACAAAAACTTGGAACTGCAGTAATCTCCTTCATGTGTCTTTAATTAGCTGATTATTATAGTAATTAAGCCGACATAATTGATGAAAAATTACAAGGTAGCAGTCAGGTGATCACAATAAAATGGCAAATATTTCTCTACACACTTGAGTCGATTTATTGACAGTTCAAATTCTATACAAAGGGGGAAATCTGACCAAGGGAAGGAAATGACCTAAACATCCACTTCCATTTTTGCCTTCTTCCTCCTTTCAGCGTTCTCTAACGCCTTTGCTTTACGCTTCTGTCTACGCGCCTGCTTGGCTTCCAACTTCTGCTGCTTCTTCCTAGATCCAAGTGCGTCCAATACAGACGAAAGGTTTCTGAAATAAAGTTTCCGCATATTAATTATGTAGGCAAGACATTTCAATAAATTCTAACCGATTTGCACATCTGATACACACATTAACTGATATTTACTATTCGAATTTCATAATACTACTGAAGTCGAAATATAAGTAGTTAGCTCACCCGGAAGAGTTACGGAGAGAATGCATGAGCTGAACAAGACGTGAATGATTAGCGCGCGTAGATTTGGGGATCTCTGACCTGTCTACTGAAAGAACTGCCGCGATTTCATCAGAAGTTAGATAATCAAACTAAAAGGAAACAAAATAATCAATAGATATTTCCTACGGAGAATACAAAGTTCGAAAAAAACTGCTACATACCACCGTCTTGTTTGATTTGAAACACGAAAAGAGGGAGTTGAAAACTGCTGAAACAAAGTCCTTCGATTTCATCAAAGCATTGGCAGACAAAGAATTAATAAACAATCCAATCAGAGTTCGGGACAACTCAAGTGTCCAATCAGAAAGAGCTGACGATTTTGCACCAGCCAATGCCTTAGTTACTGAATTTGCAAGATTCAAAAGAGTTGTTTTTGAATAAATTAAGGAAGATTCCGCTTGAGATTCTGAGTCTGGAGACTTAAGACGTTGGAGAATTATGCTCTTTGCAGATGTAGCCATAACCTAACAGAAAACAATGGTAATAATGAAAGGACATTTGCATAGCACTAAGATCTAGATTAAGCAGACTTACAGGTGAAGAGCTGATCAAACGAATCAACAATTGTTGATGTGCTCTGCTAGGACGCGTCTTGGACAAGAATTCAACAAGAAATTCCTCCAAATATTTCATTAGAACTTTCGAGCATTTTTGGTCTGTCACCTTTTTGAATTGCTACAGTATAAAAGAAATAAAGTAATAACCTCACAAGAACATGAATATCTAAATTTATATATCGATTCAAGCATACCAGGAAGTCACAAGTGGTCTGAAGGCATTTCATCATTCGGTCGTCAGGGATAGCTACGAAATTATAGATATGTATATTATATCTGCTGCAATATTCAAAATAAATAAAAAAGATGACTGAAAGATTACCATTTTTGAAAATAGTAAAGATGGCCTCGAGACAGACTGGCAACAAACCGTCATCTGATTGGCTGATAGATTTACAAAGAGCTTCATTGAATGCTATTGTCCTTGAATTCAAGTTTTCGAAGATTGAAACAATTCGAGCCAATGGAACATAACCACCTTTACTTTGAGCACGAATGGCCTTTCGAGATGAGGTAACAGCCAATTGGAGAACAATATGGAGTGTAGGCTAAATCAAGGAAAATCAAAATAGAGAATGAATTTATGAATTCATAAACAAATCAATCTAATTCCCGTCCGGTGACTCTGGGACGTATCGTTCATCGATAGAAAGCAGCGCCCACGCCACACACCAAGATATATTCACTTTCAAGTTTCAAACTGGCGGCCAGTGACCATCATGGCAAGATGGTCGCTTGCTCTCACCTTCATCTAACAAATCCATATGCCTTTTCATATCGGCTTGTCTTTTCTCTAATAAGATGTTCCCTAACAACTACACGGACCACCCCTCCTCCAAATCATTTGCCCCTTAAAGACAAGTAGATGGAAAGAAAAAAATTCCTTAGGACTTGTGGTTAGTGGCGTGTATTGTCCTCAATAGCTTCGAAACAACATCCCCATAACTGGCGAAAACTCACCAAGAAAAGTCTAGCATCAGAAGAATAGAGGAGTAGGTTTTCGAGAAAATCAAGGGACCTGCAAACAAGTAAAGATAAAAGAACAAATTAACATCACCAACTCACAATAAACAAATCGATTCAAGCTATAATAATCTAATTAGAACTGCCCCCCCCCCCTACCTTAATTTCAATAGAGCGATGGTTTCCTTTCGTATTTTGGCGTCCATGCGTGAGGCTCTGGTTGCTTTGAATAAAGCGACAAGGGCTTCGTCCTGCTTCTCAATTTGTTCATTCGTGAGGAACTCCTCTTCTTCATCCGAAACCTCTTCAGCTCTGATGTCGTCTTCGTCCTCCACTTCTGGCAAATCCTCCGCGTCACTCAATTCAGCGAAACCCCCTATAAGAGGCAGAATTAAGGATATACTACAACAAATCAAAGCGACGGTAAATAGCAGCCAACAACCCGCGAAGGCGAGGAGTCTGTAGACTCAACATTGTGTCCGATAACACCATTCAAAAAAAACACCTCATAAAAATAAATGTGCCAATCTGGCTTTCTTTCCTAAGTAACTAGAGCTGACTAAGTCGCTGGTTTATAACCAAGGACGCTGGTGGGAATGGAGTGACCCCAATCGACGTACTTGTTGATCAACAAATAGAGCAATAGCTTAGATCATGAAACTGGGAATCGGAAACTTTCGATCTCGTCGTAAGGGGTAAAAATACTAAAATTTCTGTTAGTGTTGACTGACGCTTTCATCGAATGAAATCCTATCTGACCTTCGAAAAAATATGATCGAATTTTAAAAAGTAAAAAAGCAGTCGATCTGATCGTCTTGGAACAAGGATCCCAAGACGTTCCCTACTCTCAGCCCTAAGTTCAGTTTTATGGAATTTCGTTTTACGGAAAGCCTCTACGGTGTGCAGGCTAAAATTGCAGATGGGAAGAGGGAAAAATGCTACCTACCGATATCCTCTTCTAGCTTGTTATCATCATGATCATGTTCTTCATCATCTTCATCAAATTCGCTCTCTTCATCGCTTTCCTCTTCCTCGCCAGCAACGCCGATTCTCTGCTCTGCTGCTTTTGACTTACTGTCAGCAATGCTCAAAATGAGCTGCAAAGGGTACACTGGTTTCGTCTCTTCCACCTCCTTCTCCTCCGCCTTCTTTAGTCCAAAGAAAACTTCGAGGGGAACATCAAATGTCGGCTGGATGCTAATCTCTTTTCGAGCCACCATTCTTCCGAAAGTGGCACTCACCACATCTCGAAGAAGTCTCCAGGGTTCAACACAGAGACTGAGCATCGCATCAGTGAGGACAGAAGACCATTCAGGCGAATCCTGTTGCTCGTCGTCGGTTTCCATAGCGTTGGAGGCGAGAGCACGATGGCGATGAGCTTGGAAAATATCGTCAAGAAGTTCCAAGAGAGAATCCTCTTTTAGGGAGGATGGATCTATAGTAATTAACGAAAAGCATAACAGTTACATCTAGAGAGCAGCAGAATATGCAAGCTGTCAAATATTATGTTCGATCATTCTGTTTCCTTGACCTGGGAAAATGAAGTTGAGTGGTACGACTAGACCTTATAATTAAATAGCCAGACAACAGGTTGAATATGCAGGACTAGTGCTTCAGGAAACAAATTAGAAAATTTGAACTGTGGAATACGAAATACCCATTTAATTAATATCTTCAATTTATTCACAACCTGTTTTTTACCAACTGCCTTCCACATTTTATAGTACAGACCTTCATGAGTAAAACGATTAGACAAAGAAGCTCAGACAATCGGTAGATCTAACTAATATCAATAAAATGACTTTAACCTTACCAGTGTGAAGAGTCAGAGCATAGACAGTAGTTGTAGCATAAAGAAGACCAATCCAATGCCCAACTGAACCTAATTCATCTTCCTCAAGCATCTTTGCTGCGATCTCCAAGCGTTGCACCAGGGGATTCACTGAGTCTTCACTGCCAAACCTCTCAGAACAGATCTTCAAGTCGGTTCCTATAAGGTGCTTAATGCATCGATTCAGTATTTCCAAACCCTGTTTACACGTCTTTGCGTGACGAGAATCCTCCTAAAGGGAAATTCGCTTATATTAACAACTCTACTGAAATGCAATAAGTAAAAATCACAGTAGCCTTACCCTAATCTCCGACTTTAAGGGCACTTTGCGCAAGAGTAAGGTTAAGCATCGGCCAAGATGTGTCAAAGCTAAACCAGAAACTGCCGAGGTAACCTTTGGTGAAGAGGAATCTAGAGGCATGGCATTGCTATTAGCAACCAGAAGGAAGAAGTCCATGGACTCGCATAGAAATTCGATATTATCAAAGAATGATGGACGAGAAGTGAGACAGAAGACGAACTGACGAAGCAAATCCAAAATGTGAAGACGTTGTCTATCGATGGCGAGGACATTTTCAGAATCCTCTTTAACATGCAGGAACATCCTTTGCAAATTTCTTGACGAATTCTTCAGATATTCGTCAGAAAGTTCAGACGAAGCAATATCGAGTAAGCTCTAAATTAATGCGAAATAATGATCAGAGCATGTGGTCAGAATAATAAAATTATTTGAAATCGACTTAAATTACCGATAAAAGATGCGGGGCCCTGGGTGCAGCATTGATATCAAATAGCGGAATTTTTGCGAAAATTACTTTGAACAGACTTGCTGCTTTTTTAACTGCAATTTTAGTTTCAACCTTATTGACACTTTTTGCATCAGGACCTTCAGTTGCCGAAGTTTTCAACGCCGAAATCTGATTATTCAACAAGCTACAAACATCTTCGTGGCTAGAGAGTTTCGAACTGGACAATTGCTTCCGTAGGAAAGTTAATGTGTTAAATGAAAGGATTATTTCCAACTGCTCCTCAGCTTGAAGTTTTGATAAGAGCGCTAATGCCACTTTTAGAATCTGAATCCTTTGAGCAATTGGAGAATCGGTATGATCGATTGGAGCTAAAGGCATTTTAGCATGGAATAATGGCACGTACCTGAAATTCTTGTCCATAATTTATCGAAAATGGAAGAATGCTGGAATGCAGAAATCAACTCAGCAGCTTTGTCAAACGCCGATGAGGGGAGACAATTATTTACCGCATTCACAACCCGTTTGATCATTGATTTATCGTTCACATCAAACCGCATTTTCGTGTTAACCGTCTTTAAAGCTTCAGAACAATTTTGAAGCCGTAGAATGAAGATAATTTCGGAGGCACTAGGTTCTTTTGATTGCCAAGCAAGATCCCATATGTGGGAAATCAAATCACCATATATGCCAACAAGCTTCGGATTCATTTCTGGAATCACTCGAGAAAGAACGTCTTCCATAAAGAGAAGACAGCGTTCTAAATTTAGTAGGGATTTTAAACTGGTAGCAATCTTTTTATGCTCATCAGCAGCTAGATCGGATAGCCTACCGGATTCGGCCAAGACATACAAACAAAGAATCTTAGCCCTATTAGTGATTGATCTTTCCTGAAATAAAAAATAAAGCACATAAAACGTAAATTAGACTATATAAATGTTTGTGCAGTGAACACTCACCTTTGCATCGACAGCATTATAGGAATAAACGTGCCTATCAAAAGCAGTTAAAATCAATTCTTTAGATATCATCTTGTTATGCTTGAGAATTGATATTAAAGCTATTGAGCAACCAGATTCCGGAGTAGGAGATGACCTGAGGCCCTTTGAGAGCCTATCTAGAGCGTATGTAACATGGGTTTGTAAGTCCTGAGAAATATTTATATATACCATTTACTTACATGTTTTGTAGATAACAAATATTTATTTAGGTTTTTAATAGCAGCAGTTCTTTTAGCTTCATCTGTATCGCTGATATCCCAGAAAATATCCAAGAATGCACGATTGCACTTTTGCAGGACGAAGTCACGCATAATTTCAAAATAAGCGAGAAACCTTAAGATAGTTAAACGGTTGTATTTTTCCAAGATAGACTATATTCATATGATAAAAATTTATGCATTCTTATTATTTCTAAAAATATAGCGCTTTTAATTATCATTTATCATTTAGCATTTCACATAGCATTGTTTGATATTAAGCTAATGTTGTTGTTAACGAAAAATTATATTTCTTCTTTAATACTTAACTATATATTTTAATGTGGTTGTATATTTTATGCATAAATTATTGATAGATATGTCATTCTAACCTTTATTTCTCTTCTGCACTTCTAAGATTAAGAAATTTGATAAGTTATTCCAATTCCATTCACTTCAGCTGGAAACTACTTGCCTTTTCATATAATGTAGATTTATTATTGTTAAGTCTTTAGATATTTGTGCGATTGAAAACGATAAATTTATTAAAATTTTCTCTAGTCTTTTTTGATTAATTAAGAATTGACCGAGTTTATTAGTTGTCTAAAAGCTTGTTCATGTTAAAGGCATTTGCTTATTGAGAACGTGGAAAACAAAATGCTAACATGATTGAACCAAGCAATCTCGTTTTAGCTAAACAAGTCTAGAAGATGTGTTGTAAAGGTGATTAGGTTAGGAAATGTAGTCGTGAACACGGAGAGCTCTTACCCCAGCGTAAATCAATAGCCACGGTATGATCTGCGTTTCCAAAATTATAGCTAAATGACTAAGTCATATGTTATTAGCACACAAACACAATAAATACTATTCACACCTCACGTTCTGCTTCTTCGATATTATTTTATGTAAATTAACTGTTACCCTAACACATATATTTTGAAATGAAATCCATTCCCCTACCGGAAAATCAATGCAATCTGATTAAACTCCACATCGTAGATATCACTTGTATATGAATTAGGACATTGTTCTTTTTTTAAACGAGTGCATCTATTTCATTTAAACGTTCTCAGAGTATTTAAACAATTCTCTGTTTAAATAACCATCGTAGTGATTTTAACTATCCATTTATATGTTGTATGCAATGCAAAAACCTCTCAGCAATCTGCTACTGAATAAGTGACGTTATGCTTAACTGCCAACTACGCTTGCCAATAAAAATGCTAATAGACTCGATAAAACTATCTCGACCCACTCAATTTCGAAATTATGCTGTTTTTCAATTCTTCATTTTATATAAGATGATCTGCGAAATTTCTTTTTATCAACAATGCAATATTTTGCAATATCAAGAGTTTCCTGCTTTCAATAAATTTGAGAGGAATCAATTTATCGTAGAATTCGAAGATCTATTCTTTTCTTCACTGACCTTTGTACTATAAATATTATCTAGACATACTATATTAATTTCTCGATTTTTGAATTTGTGAGAATTGTTGTAATGCGCAATGTGGTAATCATTTACCTTCATTTGGTTTGATTAAGTTTGAGCAAATATGTTTAGTTTAAGAATTAAAATTAAATTTGTTTGTCAGCGTATTATACCCTTTCCAATTGACAACATTTCATAAATTTAATAAAGATTTTCCCATTTTCACCTTAAAGAGAAGAGTCTGCACTCTATGAACACCTATTCCCGTATTTCGCAACTTTTAAAGCGAGAACTTTTTCATAGTTCCCTTGGTAACAGCAGAAATTATTGGCCTTTGAACATCTTAATCTAAAAACATTGCTACGAAACAGTTGATTAGTAATAAAAATTAATGCTGAAATGACCATTGAAATTATTTATTTATCGTACGACAAGTTGTAGAGGGCATTTAAAAACATCTATAGGCCGCACGAAAACTTGTTGCCTTCAAACTGCAGGATGAATACATGCCACTTGCACGCATCCCAAATAAACGTTTTCCACTTGGTAAGCTTCCTTCCTCTATATCGTCAAGGAAGCTTAGTTAATCCAGGGAGCCACTCTAAACTAGGAGATCATGTCATACAGGTTACTGAGCATAAGTCATGGTACGCTAGTGGAGCAATCCGTAAAAACCTCAAGTTTTACTACTCCTCTAAAACTACTGCTATTTTCTGACTATTGTTATGAATGAATTATATCTATACACATACTTGAGGTCCGAAATGGATGCTTAAAGAAGGCGGATTGTTGAAACTTGACTTTTCAATGCAGGAAAAGTCACGTATGAAGTGGCAGATTGAATTTATTAGAACTGATAATTGATCTGGTCTTCAAGAAAATGAACACAGGCATTGTGAATATGATTTACTCTTCTCTAAACTTTTTATTCTTAATAAGGTATATGGTTACGAACAAGTTCCTTTACGAAATTCACAAGTTAGAATTCTTTTATGAAGTGTCGCATTTGTCAAAAAGAATCCGATCAAGTTAGAATAAATGACATATCATTTTAAAATGGCCAATTTGGAAGAGTTTTTAAAATTTCATTTGAAAGACTCAAATCAAAAATAGCAATAAGGTAAAAAGCCATTCAATTTTGTCAAATAATATTCCTCTACAAATTTCTGAATGAAAAATCACTTAAGTTGAGTTCTTTTAAGCCAAGGTAATAACATTATCATACCAATAGAATAGTTTGAATAAGTCAGGTTGCTCATGTGCTGTTAAGATATCCCAACTGATTGATAACTACATTAGATTTTCATTGATAAAAGCAGCATTCTATTTTAAATAACATTTTAACCTGAGCAAAGAAGTTACTTATTTAATTTGTTTTACCCAGCGGGTCTCACTCAACAACCGCGGATGATGTGATTTCGTCTGTGGTGTCCACGGGTGGTCCGGCTCTTTGTGAATATTTGAATATGGGTTTCTAAGCAGATACGAGTCATCACATCGAGGTGCTGATAGGCTTGACTGACGTATAAAAATGAAATAATTTCGTATAAACCAAATTAATTTTCTGCTCTAATGATTTCAATTATTTTTTCTATTCCCGGTTCGCATAACTATATTGCCTAAATTAATCGAACATTTAGAGAACAGAATCTTCTTGCAAACATAATAAGGATATCACGATTTAGTTTTAATTACGTATTCTGAAGGTAAGTCATGAAATTATGAAATAAAAATATTATATGCTAACTAGGATTCAAAGGGAATTGGGAAAATAGTTTTTGTGCAAAACTGAAGTAAATTGAGTCCCATGGTGTTCTGATGAGCATATGATCATTCCTGATCCTTTCCACATTTCTCATATTCGTTGACTATTTTCATATTCAATGTTTTCAGATACTTTCTGTTCTGAAATTAAAACAGGAATACTAAAAGTCGTGCGACCAAACCGTTTGAAATTTATAGCTGTTTTGCGACAAGTTAAAAATAACGTGCCTCATAATTAAACGAATAAAGATAAAGTATTAAGCCTTATATAACATGACTGGATGTAATGAAAAATTTTAGAACTTATTATGCTAAAATCTTAGAAGTTATGACCACATTTCTAACAGAATTAGAGGGTTAAAGCGATAGAAAAAGTAAACATATTTAGCTAAACGGTGTTCATTTTGAACTTTAAATCTGATGAATAAATAAATTTTCCCTTATGGAATAAATGCTCGCCATTTACGGTAATACATATGATAATGGAAAATATGCTGCCACTTAATCATTTCCAACTGCATAATTATTGGATAGCCTATTTCGCGTCGCGTGTTGTAAATATGTTCACTGTTAAATCGGCCATCGCCCCACTTAGATTACTAAAGTTTTATCAATTAGAAAAGATTTTAGCATGCACTCCAAAATTTTTTGCTTCCACCCCGACATATGTTGAACCGACAGCTGTCGCTTACAGAGCTGCAATGAAACAGGGTGTTCCTGTTGAGGACCTTCCCATGCGTGTAAATTTTCGAGGAAAACCATACAAACCAGTTAGTTTGGAGGAAAGCTTGCATTACCTTTCCAGTCCAGAATATCGGGAACTCTACCGTGACAAACCGGTTTGGTTTTATTATAGACGGAACTACAAGGGCCATTTTCCACCAAAGCATCCACGAAAATCATGTACCGTATGTGAATTTCAGTCATACTCTGTCATTGTTTTTGATAGTGGAAATTCTTTATTTCTCGAAAATAATAAAATTTTGTTTTTGTAGAGAGGCCATGCACTGATTACGTCTAATCCTTGCCCAATATGCCGAGATGAATATTTAGTTATTGATCACAAGGTAGGTTTTGTTGTCATTGTTCATAATCACGTATTTTGAATAGAATGTTGAACTTCTCAAACAATTCCTACATCCGCTTTCTGCTGATATTTTGGAACCGAAAATTACAGGTAGAATCCTTTCTTTAAATTTAAAAAAGGTCCCTACCTTTTCCATAGTTGCAATGTTTTCCGCTTAAATAGGACTCTGTGCAGTTCAGCACAAGGCTCTTCTATTGGCTATTGAAATGGCTAGGGATATGGGAACGATTCAAATGCGTTTGCCGTTTCGACTTTTCGATTACACTGAATACTACGGTGATAAATTGAGCCATGAAGAACTTCGACAGTTGGCTAGTAACGTTGTTAAGGCTTCAGGTTCAGGCGGTCAATTAGAACCTCTAGATGACATCTATAAAGAGGCTGCGCGCTCATTGACTAATCTTCCTCCCGCAATCTCTCGGCTTCTCCGGGAATCAGCTCTCATTCCACACATTGAAGAAGTTGCCGCAGAACCACCAACTGAAGAAATCGAACGACCAAAAATGCCGAACAGATACCAGATGGAAGAAGCTTATCGAAAACTTCAGCTCAGGAGACGTCGTTCTAAGTCCCTCCTCCTTGACAATAATTAGTCTCTAATAAATCATTTGTACACATACGTTGCATTTTCCCTTCGTTTAGCATTTTCCAATTTGTACTTCTACAATTTTGCTTGAAATCTTGTTTTGCTTCATTTCCAGAACATGTCCTTTCTAGCTCGCACACTTCCACCGTTATGCAATATTGAATTACGATCAATTAGGTAAGTAATTTAGTTACCATTATTTGGGCTTGTAATTGAAATGCTATACTACCTACACTAATTAATGGAAATGAGATTCTATTGTAAGTCTCCAAATTTAATCTCTAAAAGAATCAACCATTAATGTTTTCATTATTTTACTGTTTAGTGAAGCCTTCTAAGTTGCGCACTTTGTCGCAGTCAATTTAGGAGCAAGATAAAGTCGATAGTCGCTTACATGTCGGCTATTTTGTTGTTGTCTTCTAAAATTAATTTTATTCAGTTCCTTGATTGTTGCCATATTTTCATTGTCTCCCTAATTCTAATTTGTTTATCTTGTAACTCCGTGAAATGACCCTGGAATTGAGTTGAGTCATTCAACTCTATGGACATCTCAAGTTAGTCGTATTAAACGCTGATCGAATTCTCATCCATTTTTGATTTGGTAAAAAGTGTTTGTGCATGTGTGTGCGTGTGTGTGTAATTTGAGCTATTTCATTACGCCCACGTTGCCATATTTGTATTAAGTTGCAATCCCAGTACGAGAACTTGCAGTGCAGTCGACATTCGGCTAAGTTGGATGCGTTATAAGCACTTGAAGGTGATTTTCGAGCGTAGAATTCCTGCAATTGATAATTCAGTGCTTGCGAATTTCGATCGAGTTCCCCCCTAAAATATTTGAAACGGTTACCTGTTAGGCTAACTTAAAGAGATCGGACCTACTGAATAATGTAAAGCAGTGTCCACCTGATTAAGTATACTTTTCGTTTGCATTTTAAGCACAACAGTCTTTCGACAGTTCATTGCTCCTCAGACAAGAATGCGTATAGTGGATAACAGTCAATTCAGCAGTATAGCACCGGAACAAAAGAAAGTTGCGGTGAAAAAGGGTGGCCTCAAAGCGGGTCCGCAAGAAGCTCCAACGAAGACCAGCGGTGATGAGATTAAAGATGTGAAAGCTTTCCTTCAAATTGGCACGAATACAACCTCAAAGAGGAAGCCGATGGTTATTGGTGTGTATAATCGCAGAAATCGTGGAATGACAGGTGATCGCGTACTCTTGGCTGTGAATGGACTTAAGAAGAAGGCCTGGGTAGTGGGATGTCGAATGCCAGCAAAAACCGGTTGGCCGCGTTTTGAGTCTAACAATGCTGTCCTCATCGATGAAGAGGGTAATCCACTTGGGACACGAATTCTCGTCCCTATTCCTGCTAAACTCCGATCGCTTCAGTCAACCACAGATATTACGAAAATTCTCTCCATTGCAACCTCATTTGTGTAGCTACTTATAAATTACAAGTAGATTGTAAATATACATTGAAATTTGTATTCTTAAGTAGATTTACTTTTACCTTGCCCAACTTAATACTTTCCCTTTTTGAGAATTAAATAAAGATCTATTAAAGAAAGCGAGGTAGAATGAAAGGACATCGCGGTATGTTGGATTAAATCGAATGAGAGGAATAAGCCCTCATTAGCAACATGTGGCTCGTTGATTATCTCTTGGATCTTAGCTTCAAATTAGGCTATTGTTTCACCTTGGTGGTCCCCTCATTAATAATTTCTTTACTATTGGCTTGTAAGATTGCTCACCTATTTTTCCGTTCTGCAGTGTGGAATAATTAGCTCCTTTCTGAACCTAATTGTCGAAAGCGGTGTCAATGTGTCAACTTAAAGATGGATGTGACGACACCAGCTATTATTTTTAAGACTTGAATAGTTATGAACATCGTAGTAACTCAGACCAATAGATGGGCAGAGATTAGAGGCTCTCTAATGGAAACATTCCCCCCCCCCATCACCTGCTGAGTGGATGATTATTAAGTAATATGATAAAGTACTCAACATTTATTTATTTCAAATGGCAGGCGTTATGATAGGTATCATTAGCCCTTTAGTTGACTTCGGGCTTCACAGAAAGGAAGAGGAACATCCAACTGGTAAAAAGTGGAGAGGGGGACAGAATAATGATTCACAGACGTAAAAGAGACAGACACAAAGGTAGAAAAAAGGTGAGGTGAATACTGTGGAATTATTCGAATATGAAATGTAATGGGGTCATGGTAGTTTGAAGTCAGAAGTCAACTGCCGATTAATAGACAGTATACGTTGCCCAGGGTGCACCACGTGGAGGTAAGTCTATTACACACCCCAAAGTACTCAACATTTAATGACATACTTTATTGAAAGTAGAACTACAGTTCAGGCTAACTACGCTCGTTGGGTGGAGGCGTATAATGGCACGATAAATCGGTTATTGATATCTGCGATAAATATCGCAGAACCACGGGGGGATTTCTTGCATGTCAAGACTTCCATCTCCCAGTTGTTTGATGCCCCGAATTCTCCTAGGGAAACTCAATCTAGCTGAGAACGTCCTTTCTCATAGGTCTCCCGACCACCGGAAAAAGTATTTATTATATTAAAGCTATATTTCCTAAGTCCATGAAAAATTCCGATGATAAGGTTGTAGTGGTTATCAAGATAGTGAAGTAAAGGACTGAACCAATCCTGAAGACGATAATTGATATCGATTATGTGGAGTTCAACTTTAATCGCTTGATTGCTGCCCTCCTCATTAAGCGAATCTGATGGACCTTCTAAGATAAGATAATAAAGTCATTGAATTCAGTTTGCAGGGGAACTACTTCACTTTTTAGAAGTCATAACATCATGGAAGTTCCCCTGGCAAAAGGACTTAACCAATAACTACTCTCTATTTTACTTACTCAGTGTATACCCACGATATTAATCCAGTCATATTTGAATTCGTACACGTCATAACCATAAAAATACACATACCATACCACGCACAACTTCACGGAGCAACCTCATACTACTCTTTGCAATAAAGTAAATTCAACTCACCTTGAATTTGAGATCATGCTTAAAAGGCTCAACGCTTTCACCTCGTCGCACCGGTCTGTCATAAGACCGACCGCAAAGGCTTTTTCACAGATTTATTCGTACATGTGATTCGATCAGTGTTGCCAATAGTGATAGAACTGTGATATTTAAACCAATCTAAGTTTCACTAATTTCCTTTTGGCATCTTCGATCAGACATCTATCACTTATCAATGACTCAAAGTGGGTAGAAGGTCATACTGAAGTAATTCCGCGATTGTCTATTCTGAGAGATATTTGATTCAGACTTGAATCAATGTACATCCATACAGTTTGGCCAAATGGCATTTGCAGGGCAAATTTCCTGAGAAGTTGCTTTTAATTCATTGAAACAGTCTGCTCCATTGATGAAGTGATAATACATAGGTGGATCTAGTCCTTGCGACCATTCCACCTGAGAAGAATTCAATAGACCAAATACCAAATCTCCACTTGTTGGAAGGGTTTCAACTACTTTTAACTGAAATACTCCTAGGAATAGTGACGTCCTCTTTGAATCCCTACATAACTTCCCTCCTCATAGTACTGCCCACTTGATTGTACAAAATATATTATGCCTTTCAATATTGATCTATCCAAATAATGTAAAAAATCAATAAATCCTACTTAGGTATGGGATATGTAAACAAGTCTAAGGTTTACTGCCAATGTAACCTTCAGAACTAAATTGCATGTTAGCAAGAAAATCGGAATATAGAATGGGTAACCTTAAAGCACCTTCTCTCTCACAAATAGTCTTTAATCTTCTTCAGATTTTGATAATGTTGAATCGAAGTATCTAAATAGTATGTTCTATGCAATCTTTATACAAGGGATAAACGCAACCTTAGGGTGATACAATGATTGAGTTTTTTTGAAATGCTACGAAAAAAATTCTAATTTGGTTGAGTGTAAGACGAATTAATTTTACTTTAATGCTCAGTGTCATTGAGGTGCAAGTAGAGTTTCTCCTGCGCAATCAGCCACATTGCAAATACGTTGGGAGTGTATGCATTTTGACTAGATTTTAATACATCGCGTAGTTGCAGTAGGGTGAAGTAATAGAAGTCAACTTTATTGATACTTTTTTACTATAACTATAACTCGAATGCTTGACGTGTTATTCAAATAGACTAGCAACAATCTACCCTATTTCACCTTAAAAGTGTGGAAAAGTGGACGTTCCAGTATGTGCTCGTAATTGGGAGACTTGAAGATTGAGTGGTTTGAAGTTTGAACTATGGTTGGAGCATTCTAGGTGCATAGATGCCAATCAGTTTTCAAAGTCCATCTTTGGAGTTCATTCTGAACGTAATCGGGTGACAATAAGTCCTTTCGTTGTGTGTGTCAAAAAGAACATCTTTAAAGTGAGACATCCCAAAGTCAAGAGGGCAGTGGGGGATAAAGTACTTTGAGTGGACCACTAAGAGTCAAAGTGACAGCGTAGAGGAATGAAAAATAAGTCAGAGGGAATTGAAGGACTTCGAGATGGTTCCTTCTATGAATACAAAAGTTACTTGGAATGTGCAGAATAAGAAGGGAATACTGGGAGCAGTGCTTAAAAGTGGAAAGACCTAGTAAGACACAGTGAGGACCATAAAAGTAGAGTGCGGTTGAGGAGTTGAAGAAGGAAGTTAACAGAAGCAGTCGTGTGTGGATGGAGAAGGTATCTGGATGGGACGGTTGAAGGAGATGGAGATTGTAGTACTCGGAGTACTGAGTGGAGTATTTTTATTTAATTTGAACAGGGCCTAAAATAATAAAAAACAGCTAATTTTCAACTTTCTCTACACGACCGTAAACAAAGTCACTCGATTTGTAAAAAAAGACACTTCAAAGATTAATATCTGTGTCATTAATGAGTGAACATTTAATAAACATTTGTAATTAATTAAGTGCTAACCTGATAAGTCTCCAAGGGACCTGATGATTCGGAAACATGGAATGGATGTACTATAAATCAGATGACGAATTTGTTGGGGATAACCAATTATTTTCGAAATCTGTAGGCGAAGGATAGGAGTGCTATGTGGTGTTACATGGGGAGGAGGGTATAAAAGGGGAGCCAGTTGGGAGAATCATCAAACCAACCAAGCACAATGATGACAAAGAAGACTCTCGTTCTCATCTGCATCGCCACTCTCCTTACCTGCGCTCTCACTCAACCACTCAGTGGATATGACACTCTTTCTAACCTGTTTGGGAAACACGAATTTTATGCCGAAGAGAATAGAGAGGGAGAAGTAACTGATGAAGTGATGGAAGAAGGTGTCACCGAAGAGATGGAGATGGAAGGTGCAGTCACTGATGAAGGTACTAAAGGCATTACCGAAGAGGTAGATAAAGAAGAAGAGATCACTGATGAAATGATGGAAGAAGGTGTCACAGAAGAGAATAAAGATGCAATTCCTGGTGAAGAGGAGGAAGTTACTGATGAAGTGCATGAAGGAGGTGCTACGGAAGAGATCGAGATGGAAGGACCAGCTACGGATGAATTAAGTGAATTTACTACTGAAGAGGAAGAAGTCACTGATGAAGTGACTGAAGGTGTTACCGATGGTGCTGACTACAACAATTATGACGATGATGACGACGACGATGATGATGATGACGACGATGATGATGACGATGATGATGATGACGATGATGATGACGACGACGATGATGATGACGATGATGATGATGACGATGATGATGATGACGACGACGATGATAAAAAGGGAAAGCACAGTAAACGACCTTGATATCCATATGAGGTACCTCGCTTCCACTTTAAACACTGGAACCCCCTCTTCTCAATCAAAGATTGAGATGCGCTTTATATAAATCGAAATTTTGCCTCTATTCACTATTGTATCAAAAATTTGCTTTAGGTTTCACTTTTAATAAGATTGTTTATTCCTTCATTGCTTATTTCATCTACTAGTAAAATTCTGGTGGAGGCCAATATTGATGGTTAGTTAGTTGAAGAAGTGTTAAGTTATGCATCACAAATATATTGTTGCAATATTTGTTTATTTATTCATCTCAAATGGCAGACGATTTGTTGATTATCATTAGCCCTTTAGCTGACTTCGGACTTCGTAGTGGGTATAAACATCAAAGTGAGAAAAACTGGAGAGTGGGGAAGAGAAGAGTGATTCAAAGATGTAAAGTAGACAAACAGACACAAAGGCAGAGAAAAAGTAATATGAGTACGGTAGAAGTGGTCGACTATGACATACAGTCGGGTAATGGCAGTTAGAATTCAGGAGTCAATTGCCGATTAATAGACTTTTTTACCGTATGAGTATACGTTGCCCATAGTGCACTACAAGGAGGTAAGTTTACCGCGCACCTAATTTGATACAATATTAATTGCTTTATCTATATTTATTCTTGAAGGTTTTATCCGAACACGCAAAAGCTCTGATCAGCATAAGGTGCTTTTAAGAACTCGAAGAGTTAGAAATTGAAAGTACTGCCAAATCTTGCACTGGAAGTGCAATATTGACATCACGTCATCAACAAGTCATCTCCTTGTCGTGGCCAAGGCGAACCAATGCACAATGGGATCAGTCGTCTTGATTGGTGTGGCTCTTCGTTCTACCAATTGCATCTCTCCACGTTAAAGTCATTCGATCTTTTCAATCTTTTTTGGCCAATTGCATCACGACCGAACCACAAACTTCTGGCTTATAGGAAGACTCCGATTTCCTTCGATAAAGTTAGTCTAGTTCAAATGGACTAAAAGATATGGAAATTAAAGAACTGATTAGCATCACTAAGCAATGCCTAATGCGTTGGCCTAATTCTGTTCTGGACTAGCTTAGATAAATGCAAAGTGGTGGGGCTTAGTAATAAGAAGGAGATGCCCAACTTCACTACTAAAAAAAAGCAACTTTCAGTGCTGTCGTCACCGAAACAACACTAACGATAAAAGGCACTCGTCAAAGGTTCATTTGGAATTTATTGACGCCTCAAATTGCATAGTATTAAAATAAAAATAAAAGGCCTAAAACCTTAATGTAGATTTTGTTCACTAGTCAAGTTCAAAGTACGTATGACTTTTGTTGAACGCGTGTCGATAGGGAGGCTATCAGATCACATCCAAACCTCTGGGTTTCTGGACAACACCTCATTAACTCTTCAAAGGGCTAATGATAACTATCAAAACGCCTGCCATTTGGTATAAATAAATAACTTTAGGTTATTTATTAAGTACGAAACAAATTGTTAGAGCATGCGTTGCATTTTTCAAATAACGGATGTCAGAAACCCCTATTTTTGACTGGTTTGAGTGTTTTCACGAAATCTTCTAAATCTTCAAAATCATGAAGAATAAATTCAACTTCTAAAGCCCACTCAATATCTCCCCCCAAATCGAACCAAAATGCCATTTGATCACAAGATAGAGTGGATTTATTGAGTCTCTAACTTAGTTAAATACACATCTCTTGTAACGGATTGCTACTTTATAAAAGTCTGACTGACTCAGAAATCTCTATGGCAGATTCTCCTACATCTAGCTAGACTCCCAGAACCAGCTAAGCTATAGCCCAGCTATCAAGGCAACCGACGTGTAGCATGGAGCACGTTTATTCAGTACGGGTATTGCGGAAAAAGTGTACGCGCAGGGAGCTACTCATGATCAGGATGGGGGATTAGGTTAAACAAACAGAGGTTAATGATTGGTCACTGTTTGTACGGTCGCTGCACACAGAGTTGTACGGCCGCACCTCTCAATCCTGGCGAGCAGACATGCAGGCATACGATGACGCACAAAGCGATAACCTATCCCACACTCTAATATTGACGAAAAGCGTAATTTTATACGCAAGAGAAAAAATGGTGAGAACCAACCTTGTATTATAATTATTAAAAATAATAAAAAATAGCTTTAATTGATAGAAATAAAAAAATAATTATAAAAAAGTCATTAAAAGCAACAATTTATTACAAAATATCAAAAAATGTTGGCGCTTACAATTCGGAAGTAATATTCCGCGACAAAAGTATTGTCGAATTTACTCATTCAAGTAAAACAAATACTTACATAGGACACACGCTTTCCCATAGTAATATTTCTTACTATCTCCTTCATAGGAACATCTTGTGGAAAAGTATCATAAATACTGGGGTAGATCGCGCTCCTGTACATATCTCTTGGCAACCTTCCAAGTTCTTCAAAGCTGACGGTTTCATTCGATGCAGGTACATTAAATAGATCACATAGAAGATATCGCTTTGGCTTCTCGTCAGTCACTGCGTCATCATCCAGGTGAATGCAAAGAGCCATGCTATAACCTCCGTCATGTTCAATATCTTCGACTTTCCGAGGTGGCCATTTACAGGGAGTATTAAATGTGTACTCATTTTTAATAATGACTTCCACATTGCTCAATCAATAAATGATGATAATTATAGGGCAATTATGGAGATGAGGATGTAAGCTTGGAGCTTCGAAGCAGAGAACCATTTCATTCTAAGAAATATTAAAAATGTCAATGCGGGAAATGTATCCAACTTAGGGTTCATTTTGGTCCCCAATTTCACGCGATGTGCACCACGGGGCTTAAATGAAATAGTTTAAAAAATTACAATAAAAATTGTAATAAATGAGTATGAGAAAATTGAGGTTATCATTAAACTTGAACTTAAAGAAGCAATAAATTTATATCAAAAGTTAGGCTTTAACATAGCTATCATTAGTCCTTTAGTTGACCTCTGGTTTCACAGAGGGGAGGAGCATACAAAACCACAAAAAATGAGAGGGCGAATAGATGATGTAAAAGAGACAGACGCTAAGGCAGAGAAAAAGGCAAGGTGAGTACTGTGGAAGGAATCGAATATGACATACAATGGAGTCATGTTAGTTTGAAGTGAGAGGTCAAGTGCCAGTTTATAGACTTTTTTGACGTAAGAGTATACGCTGCCCAGGGTGCACCACGTGGAGGTAAGTCTATCGCACACCCCAAGATGCTATAAATAAAATACTTGAAGGAAGCCCTAATGATCAGTTAAAAATCACGAATATATTTAGGATATCTGCATAGCACAACGTTTTATGGGTGTTATTGTATGATTTTCGGCAGGTTTAGAGGAAAAACGCACATCGTGATTTAGTAAAGCATCAACTTATAAAGCCTACAGGCCCATGATTGCCATAATGAACTCCCAGAGTACGCGGTGCCTTCAAAGTGAGATTTACCAGCATAAAGTGTTTGTTGATAACCTGGATAAAGGTATTTTTTAGTGTGCAATTATTTAAATATTTTCCCTTCAATTAAATAAATTGTATGAATATAGCGGTTGGGTTAGAGGCCGCTTATGAGCGTTCATCCTGAGAGGCCAATATGCTGAGATATTCTGCCGAATATGATGAAATTTTAATGTCAATATGGGCCAAGTTGACACCTCTGGAATCTAAGAACAGAATTAAAAAAGGCTAAACACCATGGAAGTGGACAATATTAAAAGCTCTAACACAATTGTTCATTAATAAGAAGTTTAAATTCGACAATGATAAGTTAAATTTTAATGTCCTAAGTTTGGGTTGTGCGAAAGACTTACTTCCACATGATGCACCCTGGACAAAAAGTCTATTCCTCGGAAGTTACCTTCTCATTTCAAACTACTATCACCCCACTGTATGTTATATTCGACTACTTCTACAGTACTCACCTCACTTTTTTTCTGCCTTTGTGTCTGTCTGTCTCTTTTACACCTGTGCGTCACTCTTCTGTTCCCCACCCCTCGACTTTCTGTTTCTTTGATGTTCCTTCCCTCTGTGAAGCCCGAAGTCAACTAAAGAGCTCATGATAACTATCGAAACGCCTGTCATTTGAAATGAATAAATGTTCTACGTTAATTTCCATGGCTTCTGAAATGGATGGTTTTCATTCAAATAGGAATCTCTTCTTTGGCAAATATGAAAAAAATCAGGTGGAAGGTTTACTTATATATGTCCAAATTATATATTACATCATTATAATTTCGTATTTTATGCACCTAACCAGCCAAAATTACACTGGCATTTGAAATAGATGTCATTGAAATTATATATTGGATATTAATTCAAATTACAATTCGTTATTTACATAATGTTTATCATCATTAGCCCTCACATTATCTACTACTTAATGAAAATCAGTACAATAGGCGTTATAGGTTCTTTCCAAAGTAAAAAGCTATATCATGACTAAGCATATGAGCTAACATTAGCTGTTCCTTGGTTGTCAGTCTCTGTGCTAATGACCATTTTCAAACCTTCAAGATTTGAACTAGTAGCATAAAAAGAGGCGTTTTCGGATATTTTCATTTCTTTTTCGTATTTGCTTTGTGTGAAGGGTTAACTTGGAATGTTTACACTAAATTTCACTGATACTTAACTCCAATTTCCCTCAAAATTCACAGATAATGAAGAATGCATAGGATAACTTTAAAAATTTAACAGAGTTTGAAATTCAACTGACCATCCTTCCGCATTTAGTTACCGCCTTCAATGAGTTGAAACATCCTAGAAAGTGAGAATATTTGTGCAGAAATCTTCCAATCATTCAGCACGGTATTCTCGCCTCTCTGTAAATATTTTCTAACCATTCACTTTCTCACTCTAACAAATCTTCATCTTCATTGTCGTTCTAGTATTCCCCAATGTTAGTTAATGCCCTTTACTCTAAGCCTCAAACAAATGAATGGTGAGGTGAGTTCATTAAGTTTTTCACTTAGTAAAAATTTGAGGATAAAAGGTGAAGTAAGTTGAGTAGAATGAAAAGTATTCTCTTAGCGTTGAGTAGGATCGATTCGAAATCTGCTTTCCTTTTATTGGCTGAATTCACTTTCAGTTTGGGAGCCGTAACAAGTAAAATGGTGGAACAAAGCTTTATTGTCACATTAAAGCGATGACTCAATGAATTTAGTAATAACCATGCCAACATTTCAAAGGCTGACATTAGGATTTGGAAAAATAAGGCTTTAGAGCAACCAAAGGGTGTTTAGTGTCATGGAGATGCCGAAGGTAATCGGAATGTTCGTACAAAGTATCCAAGCTTTTGAGAGTGATTCCAAGCTTCCTAGCCACCAAACCAAGAAATACGTCCTCATTCAAGAAATCATATCGCGTATAAGCCGATGCTATTGCCATATCATCTACAATATCAGCTCCAATCAGTTGAGACATTCCTCTCGGATAGGGCGCCATCCTACTCCACGGAACCTCATTGGTTGACATAAAAAACTTGGATGTAGGTGATCGCGAGGCCTTATCTCTATAGCTGATTTTTCCGTGAAGAAAGTTTCGCAGATCGGATCTTGGCGTTGATTGCATGAACTCATGGATCGCGGATATATTCACTCGATGATCGTCATCGAGAACCATGAAGAAATCGCCTTGAGTCTTATTGCAGAAAGCCGAAAGCCAACGTAGGTTTGTTACTGTCTTCCAAGTGAGGTTGAAATAGGTGTCCTCATAGTCACCAAGGATGATGTCATCGTACAATTCAATCTCATTTTTAATGGTCTCCATGATTAAATTCCGCTTACCATCGTAGATTTCAAGCATTTCGCCCCCAGACCCACCTAAGCTCACGAGATGTCCATCGCGAATGAAGTGTCGTCCACCATGAGATCTTGGCAGTCCGACACTGAAAACGTAGCCCACTCTGATGTCTGGATACATAAGAGCCTGATTCCTCATGAAATCGCGGAATTCATTTCGAATTTTGGAATTATAGACGGCATTTTTGACAACTATCACAAGATCGTGCTCGGTGCCTTCTGCACAGACCGATTTACTTGTTTCGAGGATTTTTATCGGGAAATTATAAGCAGGCAGCTAAAAGGGAGATAATTTGGGCTTTAATAAAAGGATTAATGAACACTTTTCCAAGGCCTCTTCTAAACTGGCTCTTTGGAAATTTATTTCGGTACGTTTATTTCTACTAATGATCTTAATGGCCATTATGTTATCACTCAAAATCCACTTTGGATAGAAGCGCGAATTAGCTTCGAAGTACTTTGTGAGGCATTAAGAATTTGGCTAATCCATCCTGCTCATTTGTTAACAAAGATAGCTCTAACAATAAGGCTTTCATTTCTCAGTTATGTCTAGCCTCTAAGCCAACGAAAAAGAAATGCTAAAACCAGCTCGTTTTGATCAAAATGATAATTTCTGAACCAACTTTAGCCGCGGTCCAGGAGTCGCCGTCTTCAACCTAACCCCCCCCCCCTCCTCCAACTCCACTTTACTCCACTCCAGCTTCAAGTTAATGAGGTATTTTAACCAATTTATAGCTACGGCTAGCCATAAAGGAAAATAACGCGGGTGAATGACTAGGGAGATTTTGGCCCTAGCAAGGCGCCACGAACATCTACTTTGTTGTAGAATTACGTTTTTTTTCAAATCTCTTCCATAAAGTGCACAAGGTGTGTGGGACACGTTATCGCTGTGTGCCTCATCGTATGCCTGCATGTCTGCTTGCCAGTATTGAAAGGTGCGGCCGTACAACTCTGTGTGCAGCGACCGTACAAACAGTGACCAATCATCAACCTCTCTTTAACCTAATCCTGCGTGTACACTTGATCCGCAATATACGTCCTGAATAAACGCGCTCTGTGCTACACGTCTGTTTCCTTTATAGTTGGGCTATAGCTTAGCTAGTTCTGGGAGTCTAGCTAGATGTAGAAAGATCTGCCATAAAGATTTCTGAGTCGGTCAGGCTTTACTAGCGTAGCAATCCGCTACAGGTGCTATTCAAAAAGAAACAAAATGTGTGTTGAAAGTATCTTAGGGCATATCGCCCTTCTTTCAATGCAGTCACTGTCCTACAGTATTTAATTAATACCACTATTTTAACTTGCATTTACTTAAACAAACAAAATCAATATTACTCCTATTCGAATTACACCTCTATTTTAAATTTATATTTTCAGGCCCTAATTAGTAATTTGGTTAGTAACATTTAAGAGGCTAATAAAATACTTACGTGAGAAACTGTTTTTCCGGCTTTGATGTTATATACAATCTCTTCCATTGGGACGTCTTGTGGATAGGTGTCATAAATTCTTGGATATTTTACTTTCTTCCAAATTTTCTTTGACAACTTGGGGAGACTTTCAAAGGTAACCGTTTCATCTTTATCATGCACATTGAATAGATCGCTTAGGAGGTATCTCTTCGGCTGATCATCTTGAATGGCGTCAATGCTCAATTTTGCACAGATGGTGATATTATAAGTCCCATTCACCAAGATGTCTTCGACAGCTGAAGGCGGCCACTTACACGGTCTCTCAGAGACCAACTTCCATTTATCCGCAGTGGAAATTCTGTAGATCATAAAGATTGCACAAATCGCTGCAAGTAGAGTGAAAAGTTTGAACAATCTCTTCCTGACAACCATGCTTGAAATGAGGGAGCACAAAAGTGATCTACAAACGAGGCGTCAACGAACTCTTGGTAGATGAACTCTGGAGGTGTCAGTGTCAAACAGGGGCCTGTGCACGACTTGATTTCAGGTCACTATGACAGCCTATTGCCAATTAGATACGATTCAATGCTCGCATATTCATGACCTCAAAGGAAACATATTGGTATTAATCACGTGAGGTATTAATATTGTCTACTTAAAAATAAGTGTGTAAAATGAGACGCGCTTGTGAGTCACATGGGGAAATGATATTTTTCACTTAATATTTATATGCATGCGCCAATCAAGTTGACTGGGTGCACTCAAGTTATTAAAATGAATTATTTCATTAATTAATGGAAAAATTTATATTAAATCCTACATTCAAAATTAGGAAATATTTGAAGATGGTGTGCATGCAAATTTCAGCGACTTTAGTGCGTCTAGATCTTCAGTCTCTCATTTAGAAGTACGCAATTGCTTCTTATATAATTATGCATCTTTTTGCCCTATATCCATTATGACTTTGCAGATAGGGATTCCAAGTTATCCTGCACAGTACTATGGAACTTCCAATTCAGATGTTCCTTCTTATAGATGTATAGACGACTCTCTCTCTACCACTACTCAAGAGGAGACCGTGTATTTCGATTTGCATCTACATATTCTCAGATTTTCCATCGAATATTTATTTATTTATTTCAAATGGCAGGCCTCTTGATGTTTATCATTAACCCTATAGTCGACTTCGGGCTTCACAGAGGGGAAGGAACATCAAATTGAAAAAATTCGAGAGGGGTGGGGAACAGAAGAGTGTTTCAAAGATGTCAGAGACAAACACAAAGGTAGAACAAAGGTGAGGTGAGTAGTGTGAAAATAGTCGAATATGGCATAGATTGAGGTGATGGTAGTTTGAAGTGAGAAGTCAACTGCCAGTCAATAGACTTTTTTGCCGTATGAATATACGTTGCTCAGGGCGCACCCCGTGGAAGTAAGTCTATCGCACACCCCATCGAATATAGATGTAATCCTTATTATAACAACATTCGAGTC